AGCCATCATGAGGAACTGTATTAAAGGGCCACAGCATCAGGAAGATTGGGAACAAATGCCCTGGAGCCCCACAACTGCGAAGCAAATGGGCTTGTTGTCTTTTTAAAGTTTCCCAGCTGCTAGTATCACAGGAATGGAAAACAAACAAATACACTGAGCCTCAGAGAATTCAAGCAACTTGTGTAAGATCGTGGAGCTAGATCCTGACAGAGCTCCGGGCAGAACTCAGATTTTGTTCAGTTTTCCTCAGGAGAGATGATGGCCCCCTACAGAACCTGCCACCCTTACCTCGTGTCTCTGGAACTTTCTCAGGACACTGTTGACGTGTAACTCCATGGGACACATCTGGACCAATGGCAGGCATTCACATAACCACTCTACCCCAACTCAGCACCCTGTTTTAGGCTCTAAAAACAGATGTGTTCCATGGAGTGTCATGGCCTCTGCCCCAGTGTGAGACACAGCAAGGGGGAGCTGAACAAAGACAGAGCAGTAGAGTTAGGTCGGAGGAGCGTGGGCTTTGGCTAGGGTACGTGCTTCAAATCCACTTCATTGTCCATTTGTTGGCACAAGTGACTTAATGAATTCACCTGACATCTCTGCCAGCTTTCCCAGATGCCCAGGGGAAGTAGCAACACTCACTAGCGTCCATGGTAAGTAAGGGTGCAGTAAGTCAACACTATTCCAAGCTCTTTCTTTTTTTTTCTCTTTTTTTTCTTATTTATTTATTTATAAGAATTTCCACTTCCTCCCCTCCTCCCAATACCCTCCCCCAAGATCTTTCAATGGATTACCTCATCTAACCTTTATGACATTCCAGAGAGACTCTAGGGACTGAAGTGACCCTAGGAACCCATGGAGGGTATGTGACAAAGTAAGAGACTTGGATTTGAATCCAGCTCTAACTCTTGCTGTGTTATCCTGGATGACAATACATCTACCCCATAGGGTTCTTGAAAGGATAAGCAAGTCAACACACATCCAACAGCAGAGCTGGGAGCTTGTGAGAGGTGCCAGGCCTCATACTCAACTCAGTGAGTTACATGTTGCTGGACCAGCAGAGCAAAATTGAATGTGTAGGAAGGGAGAAAGAAGACAAAGGGGATAACAGACCCTCCTCATTAGGAAAGATGTGGAAACGAAAGCAAATTAAATGGCTTCCCCCTGAAAAGGAGGGCTGATGGGGGCATGCGGGATGCTTTGTTCAGGCTCTACCCAAAGCCTGAGACCAAGAGTAAGGGCATGTAGTTCCAGTGATTATGACCAACAGGAAACAACAAAATTTAGTCTCATGGCCTAAAAGGGAGGTCTTAGTATCAGTGACATTCCACCCAGGTTCAGTATTCTCAGCTCAGGATTGGAGAGAAAGAGTGGAAACCCCCCTGACGATCAGCCTACCTATGTCACCCACATACAGCCCACGGGCACTGGTTGACATCTGTGTTTGCCAATACAGCTCATGACCCCTTGAGTAAATGGCTCATGACCCCTTGAGTAAATAACCGGGGTGGGGAAGGCCAGCCAAATGCCTCTCTGGAAGATCTAATCACTGTAGTCTTTGACTTGGCATGATCTTTCCCATGCCAGGCAAGGACTGGGTCCAGTTTTTCTGGCCATCTGATTCCAAAGAGCACTGCTGTTGTGTGACTTTTCCTGAGGAGACATGAAGGGCACTGGGATGGACCCAAGAAAAGATTTCACCTGAGTATCACTTAGTGAGCTAGTGAGTTTCCTGAGCCTCCTTATAGGATCATGGATGCCTCAAAAGCCCCCACATCAACAAAGAGCCCTTCCTAGCATGCATGGTTAATGAGTCTGCAGAACAGAATCCCTGAAGCTACTGAAATGACTGGCAGGCTGCTCAACTTGTGAAAGAGTCTCCTCTGCCAGTCATTGCTCTGCTCCCTGCTCGAGGAGGAAGGGGCCTTGTGAGTCTTGTCACTTTCAGGAGTTTCCTGAGCCTCGTGAGTTCTCTGTTTACTTCCTGTGTTGTTCATGCCTCTCCAGGTGGCTGTCCACATGGTACTGGCTTTACAGCTATGGAGACTCACTGAGGTATCCACACACATTTTTTATAGAAGGCCAGGGAGTTAACTGTGTGCAGTGGAACCAAATTCCCCAAGAGAGCCTCCGGGAAGGGGGATAATGTTTTAAACTGTGAGTGTGATGTGTGAGCATCAGTGGGTACCCCAGGATGTTGAAGATGCGAGGAACAGGAGATAACTGCCAAGGAAAGCCAAGGAAATGAGTGAAGTCCACCCAGGAGATAGGCCACATGGGCTGCAAACCGCAAGGCGACAGGAGCAGGGTTGCTCAGGCCTGTTGGGGCACACATCATGGTATCGTGGGCCCTAGAAACAAAATGTGGAGCCACAGGATAAACATTTGCCCTGTTGTGTTTTGTTGTTTCTTGCTTTGGTCCCATCCTTCTTTGCGGCTGGTTAGTCTTCCTTTTGGCATGGGATCATCTGTCATGTACGATTGAAATTTGAAAGTACTTAATCAACTTTTACTGGAGTGCACAGCCAAGAGTTCTCTGAGTCTCAGTGGAGACTTTATACTTAGGCTGTTGAGCAATGCTGGAACTGGGAAGGTGGATTTCAGCTCTCAACAGGGACCTGGTGTTTTGTGTTATGAAATGGCCGTGTTATAGCTTCAAACCATGAGGCTTCATCTTCATTGTCAACTTGACTAGGAGATACAGGTGTGCCCTAGTGTGTCCACAAGAATGTTCACAGAGAACATTAAATGAGGAAGGAAGACCCACCCTGAATATGAGTGACACCAACACATAAGTTGGGACCCAGACAGAATAAACTCAGGGGAATACCACCCTCCTAGCCTGTCTTCTGGCTCGCAGTAATGTGAATGGAAGTGTTCCACAAGATTCTCCTGCCGTGACGGACTGAATGACCTGAAACCAAGAGCCAAGGTTAATATTTTCTTCTTTAAGATGAGTAGGCCATGTCTTTGGTCACAGTGTGATGTGGGATTTTCAATGTGATTATTTCAGGTTTGGGCAGCTGTCTCTGTCAACAACAGTGATGAAGTAAACTAAGACTTTGTCTCAAGAAACAGAAGACAACAGATCAACACCCAGAGATTTATTTAAAAGTTGGTTTCTAAAAATAAAAGTAGGTTACTTTTACCCCTTCTCTTCCCCCTCTAACCCCTCTTTAAGAAAACAACAATTTTCTTAAAAACTAAAAGCTGAATCTTCTAAAGATCAGTTAGACAGATCTCTCTAAAAAGACTTATCGAAGGGATAGGAGATAGTTCAGTCAATTGAGGGCTTGCCTTGCAAACTCGAGGTCCTGAGTTGGATCCCCCGAGCCCACATTTTAAAAAAAATCTTGGCATGATGGCATTCCCTTGCAATGGTAGGGCTGAGGAGGTGGAAACAGGCTAATCACTGAGGAGAGTTCCAAGCCTGAGAGAAACCCTGCCTCAAAAACTAATGGATGGAGCCTAGGGGACATTATGTGAAGTTGGATTTGTCCTCCACATGCCTACCCAGAACTGTGTATGAGCAACACACACACAGCTTATTAAGGAGAGGAGAAATATAAATATATAAGTGTGTGTATATATAAACAAATGAGAAATACTGATATTAAATAATAATCAAAACACTAATGGGGGCCTTGTGAATCGCTTGTTTGGGTTTTTGTTTTGCTTTGGTTTTGACAGGATTTCTCTGTGTAATTCTAGCTGTCCTAGATCTTCCTGTGAAGACCAGGGTACCCTGAACTCACAGAGATCCACCCGAGTCTGCCTTCCTAGTGCTGGGATTAAAGGAAGGCACCACTATACCCAGTTAACTGTGAATAACAATCTACAAATCTAGATGAGAAAAATCCTTGGCTCTAAAGTCCAACATTGGCTTGTGAAATAGAAAAGTTGAAAAGAACAACAATTAACAAAACTGGGATGCTCCAAACTTCCAGGCATGACCTCTGACCTTCTTTCTTTCCCAGCTTCCCTCAGCCTTGGATGAACTAATGGTGCTGTCAACCAAACCCAGGGCTCAGGGCTGCAGGCTTTGGGTGGGTCTTTACAAAGGCGCATCCCCTAGGACACTGTGGTTGTTCCGGGTACAGGTTAATAGTCCTAGCCACAGTGAGGGACTGATAGAAACACTGAGGCAAAATAATTATTTTTTTCCTTCGCTGTTAGTGAAATCTATGTAACCCGGGGTTTCAGAAGACTCCGTTCTCCCCACTACAGATGAATGGAAGTATGACAGAAAGGGAAGAGAAAGATCTGCTAACTAACTGGAGACTCTGAAGCCTTTTACACTCTTTGGAAGAACCATTCATGGAGAAAAGTTCCCTTCTGCTTTGCAATGCTTCGCTGGGTGCCTCCTGCAACAAGAGAGATCGAGGAATGCACATGTGGGGAGGAGGAAGGACGCTGGACGTCAGGCCGCTCACTTCATCTCCAGTACCTCTCAGTTTTCTTATGTCAAGAAGAGATGCTGATGAGGCTGTAGCTCAGCAGTGGAGCCCTTGACCAGCATGCATAAGACCTCAGGTTCAATCCCTGGTAGCTACAGAAAAATCAAATTAAAACAAAACAAAACAAAAAACTAGGCCAAGTCAGTCTCTTAAAGATGGTAGCAGTTTGTTCAATGAGCCATTGGGAGGCTTGAGATAACCCACAGAAAGCCCTTAGCTGGTTACTCATTCATTCATGCATGTCTGTTTCTCCCACCCTTAGCTGATTCTTCCCCTCCTGGTGCCAAGAACTTGACTCTTCAGAGAGGCCATATCATGGTGCCTATTAATGACACCAGTGAGTCCCCCGCCAGCTGGCACGAGCAACCACAAACACTGTTGCAACTCTAGCCACATTTTGATATCAAACGTAAAACTTCAGGGAGCAGATGCCGTGGAAAGTTAATTTGCAGCATTGCTGTGTTTACCCTCACTACCTTTAAAGCTTCCCATTGGTTGATGTTTGGGGGGTGGGGACCACCAAATGGTGAAGGCCACTGTCCCCCTCCTCTAACCATTAACCAGCAGAGACACCGACAAACAGGATTTAGCAGGCAGTCTCCCTGGAGACTACTGTACATCTGCTAGGATCCCAGGCAGCAGAGCAGAGCCCGCAGGAGCGACCTGAGCCTACTGCAGACGTGAGTTACCTCTGAGCGTACTCTGCTCCCCCTACTCTTGTCAGGGTCCCCACCTCTGCATCTGTGCACTCCAGAACGCAGCCACATGTGCAGTTTGCTCGTTGGAGATTTTTAGTAAACGAACACGCAGTCAGCTGTGAAATGAGCCAACCTTGTGGAATGAGCCAACCTTGTGGAGGACTTCCAAGACCCTAGAATCTGGGGGTCACCACTGGGGTTTCATTTCTCCTCAGCTACTGCCTTGCAGGAACTGTCACTGAGAGTGGTAGCTATGTTTCACCGGTTGCCCAGGGAAGCATCATTAGCTACCAGGAACTGGAGCTACTTTCAGAGCTGAGACAGATAAGTGCCAAGCAGGACTATGGGATGGGGCTGGGGGTACACAGCCTGGGCATGCAGGGGCACTCTAAAGAGTGCCCACACACCCCTCTTTCATGGTTCCTCCCTTGGTAATCTGGGATGGGGATGATGCTGTTAGGAGAAAGACCTGTACTAACTCTCTGTATCATCCAACGAGCTACGATACCTGCCTAACACCCCACCTGATCCAAGTCACTTGGGAGAGGAATGGCAGGGAGGATGTTAGTCGAAAGAAACATATGGCCCTCGGTCCTTTCACAGGCTGCCCTTAAAGAGCCACCTCGCTGGCCATGTGGCTTTTGATAGAGATAAGCAGGGTGGCTCAGGAGATGCATGCCCTGCCCTTTAGGGATGTCCTGCCTTGGCCAGTTCAGTTTGCCCAGCTCTACAATGAACTGAAGGATGACTCATGAATTGAGTTTATGTAAGTCATGTATTGATGACAGCCACACCAGACATTCACAACAGTCTCGTGAGGCAGTGGGAGTGTTCAGCTCCATCCTGCAGGTTTGACACAGGAAGAATGAGGCGCACAGCCCCCCCCCCCCGAAAAAAACAATGGCAGGAAGAGGAAGGAGACCCGGGTAACTGGGGTCCTTCCCCCAAAGGGGATCATAGACAGGCAATGGTCCAGTGAAGAAACCAATAAGTCCATGTGTAGAAAACAAGGCCAGGGGCAGAAAGAAGGGAAGAAGAGAGGCTTTCTGGAGACAGTGATCTGAGTGTCAAAGACCGAAAAGAGAATGAGTTGGGTAGAGGATGGAAAAGATGGGCCCACAGAGTGGAGCCACATGGGCAGGGGCAGGGTAGGGTCGTCTTTATCTCCATGTCTCAGGTCAGGACGGAGCTCAGCAAACACTACAGGGACTTTAGTGACCTGCCCTGCCTTCTGTGTCCTGCCCTGTCCTGTCCTAACCTCTGACCTGGCCTAAAGGAGGGTAACAATCCAGTGTGTGTCCAAAGGAAACCTGTGACATCCAGCAGTGCTGCAGACAGACAGACAGCATTCCAACTTAAGACTGAAGGACTGGGTCATGAGAGTCCAGTAGGCTGGGTCTCCTTCCTCTTCCTGCTGTTTCTGGGGGCAACTGTGTGCCTCACTCATATGAGTTGCCCACATGAATGAGGGTGATCTTCCTGTGGGCACTGGGGAGCCCCTGAAAACTCATCTTCTCCACAGCTGTGTCCTACCCCTATTCAGTCACAAATGTTAACTTTCTAGATTGGGTAGTCCCCAAGACATTGACTTATAATGTTGTTGTTGCTTGAGAATTTGAGAATTTCACACATGAATATGTGTTCTGATCAAATCCACTCTC